GGACCAGGATTGGGATTCGGACAGGGAAAACGGAGGGTGGGAACAGTGCTCCTTTCAAAAGTTACAGACAGTATTCTTTAGCTAGCTACCCTAATCCTTTGGTAAAAACGTCGAATAAACGGCGCGGTCAAAGTTCAGTTACGGAACATTTAGCGTATCTTATGCAAAGAGGAAACGATAACAGACACCGGGTGATCACTTGGGCCTAAGAAGACAGTTCCAAAGGTAGTGACGGTCGGGTGCCACCACGAGGCTAATGATCCTGCAAGGGTGCTTCATCCCCTTCGAATTCTTACTTTTCCGCTCTCTTTGGGCTCTTTGGGCTCTTTGGGCTCTTTGGGGTTTCCGTGACTAAATAAAAAACAGTCAAGTAGATTTGAACTAATACCAGTGTCGGACAGTATCACGGTGAGACCCGACTGCGTGCGTGCGTGCGTGCGTGCGCGTGTTCTCGCGTGAAATACTGCAGTGTCCATTTTGTGTCTTCTCTTTAAATCTACAAGGGATGCGCTCTTCGCCGCGTTGTAAAATACAATGATCCGTTATCTACGTTAGTTCCTTTAAAGTTTTCTTTTCATATTTCATTTTTTTTGTTCTCCTCCAAACCTCCTTACGCCTCGTCGCTCCCGTTAATTTACAATAAAATATCACAGTTCTGTTCGTACCACGCAATATATTGTTTTTCCTTAAAGTGTCCCTAGTATATTTCGCTCTCGTCCTCTCAAAATTTTCACACTCCCCTCTCTTCTGTACATACTCACGCATTCGCTTTCTCTTACTTTCGCGCACACTCTTCCATTTGCACACAGCTGGAACAAATTGTTCGAATTAATGGTTAATCGATCGATGGCCGAATGCCGCTCGAATACCAGTAACTTTTTAAACATTTAAAATGACTTTGTAAACAGATAGTTTTCTTATTTTTTCGTTCTCTCTCTCTTTAACCCTCTTAAAACCCCTTGTGCTACGTTAAATCTAACCTAAGTATCTCGCGCCGCCAGCATTTTATATAGAAAATATTTAAATGTCCCGCCACTCAAATGTACTACCACTCTGGAGATCAGCTCCGCTTGCTGCTACACACGTACAAGAGGAAAATTCAGAAAAGGGAAAGATTACACGCGAGAAGGAAAAGAAGATGAAAATAAAGAAACAACTGAGAAGCGAGTAAACAGAGAGAAGCAAGAAAAAAGATTGGAAGATGCCGCCGTCGCTCGGCCAGCCTTCTCGACGATTCTCGTTGGATCGATGCGGCTTTTCCTCCGCCATTTTTCTCTTCTACATTGTCTCTTCGTAATTCCTTTTCACTTTAACTGCTTCTCTCGTTCACCGCGTTACTTCGCGTTACTCCGCGTTACTCCGCGTTACTCCGCGTGCATTCTGCATTCTTTGACGCGATTGTTACGCGACGCGCGCTTAGCTGGAACAGAGAAAAATTAAAACAGAAAAGAAAACGAACACTCGCCGATCGGGTGAGAGACTCTCTACTTTGGCCATTACTTTTTCAACGTGGTAGTTTATTAAACGAAAATCATAATTATAATAATAATAATAATAATAATAATAATAATAATAATAATAATAATAATAATCAATAAGAAACTAAGGATAATTAGACAGAGAAAAATCACAATTAAAGCACGTGGGCTCTCTGGCTCTGCCCTGCCTCCCCGTTTCCATATTTATTTTCGTATTTTCTCTAATTTCTCGATAGATCATTCGCGTCAAGTCGCTCACCCATTATTCACTCACTCGCTCATTTCGCTAACTGACATTCCACGCAAGTTCCCGGGCATTTCTTATTAGGCCCAATCAGAGGATCCCAAAACATTTGCATCCTTCTCTTTCTCCACACACTCATTCTACGCGCACACACTTTCGCGCGCCATGCACACTGTAACCCTTTCCCACCCCTCCCACTTGTCGCCCGGACATTTTTGCCAAAAAAATGACCAACAATGGTAGGACCTAAACAAAACAAAAAAAAAAGAGCGCCCTGACGATTACAATAATTCGTAATAATTGTAGAATATTATACTTTCTTAATAACAAACTAATAGTAAACAACTTGAGCACAGGTGAGGCGCTGCACGGTGTTTGCGTCCTGAGAACACTTTCGAGTTTTTATTTTTCTACACATAATGATGCGTAAATATATATATATATATATATATATATATATCTATATATATATCTTTCCTTTAGGTAGTTTTTTTTTAAACAATGTTCTTCAGTTACCCCTCTTAACTCATTGCTATCCTCTCCTGCTTGAGCGTTTGACTTTTTTAAAAAGCGCAACACCAAAGAAGGAGATGACGAAAAAGAAAAAAAAGAATCATTTGAAAATTAACTAATCGCTCAGAAATCCTGCATGCACGTAGACTGTAGAAGGATCGCTCAGCGATTTCAAGAGAGAAAACGAAAGTAAGAGCACAATGAAACTAACAAAACGCGAATGAGTTGAATATAAGAAAGGAAAAAGAAGAAATATTCTCATTAATTATCAGGAGGGCCAATATGCAGATGTGGGTCTCGCTTCACGTATTAGCCGTAATTTTCGTTTCTTTTCCATTTTCATTCTCTCTTTTTGCAGGCATCGTGACTGACCC